ACAGTACAGCCAGGAAACAATCAGTCCCCCTTGCCCCTGCGCTTACTCACCATTTTGGGGCTCCCCTGGTTTATGTGCGCTCGCTTTGGGAGGGGCAAATTCTGCTATTGTGTAGACTGTGCTTGCCCTTAAGTATGGAGGAATCATTGCTCTGTTTGGTGTGAACAATGCTGCCTCTGTTAAGTGTTGCATTTTGTCTTTACAGATGCAAGCTTGAGATCTCAACCGTCTGTATTATCACCGGCCGAGAGACTGTAAAGAATCAGGAAGAGACCACGTAGAAGCAAAGAAGACCTGCTGCATGAAGTAATGCAGCAGTCCCTTAACGAGAACCTAAAAGCACAGGAGTGGAGGGAGAGTGAAAGGAGGATCCGCCAGCAGAATGAGGAGCGCTGGCACAAAAGCGCGGTGCTCCTGCAGCAAAGCACGGATCGGCTGATAAGCATCATGGAGCGCCAAGCAGACTCGATCCAGGCGCTCGTAGCCATGCAGGCGGAGCGTTACTGCGCCCGCCCCCTCCCTGCAGCTCTGCTCCCAAAACTCTTTCCCTTGTGCCCCCATGTCACCTCCAACCCACTTTCCCCAACATCCGGGTTCTTACCACCACCAGCTGCCTCCCACACCTGTAGCTTCACCACCCAGCCCTGAAAACTACGACCCTTACCCACTGCACTCAACCCCCATCACCATGCATTATAGCTAGCCTGAAGTGCAGCACTCATTGCACAGCACTCCAGACAGGACATACGCAAATTTGTGATTGTACGGTTCCCTACCCCACCTCCAAATGTGGCCACACCAGTGCGCTTGTAGCTGTCAGTGTGGACAGACTGCAACACTTTCCCTACTGTGCTCTACGAAGGCTGGTTTAACTCAAAGCGCTCTACATTTGCAAGTGTAGACATGCCCTCAGGCATTTGGCTGAGTCCCACTGGATATTTGTGATTATATCACAAAATAAAATTGTTAATGCCACCCATACTAAATAAAATAAGAACTGGCTAACTGATAGATCTCAAAAGATAATTGTCATTGGGAAACCATCAGCCACCAGCTGTGTACGTAGCAGGGTCTCTGGCCCATGTGATGCAGGAGGTCAGACTAGATGATCACAGTGGTCCCTTCTGGCTTTAACATCTGTGATAGAATCATAGAATATCAGGGTTGGAAGGGACCTCAGGAGGTCATCTAGTCCAACCCCCTGCTCAAAGCGGGACCAATTCCCAGCTAAATCATCCCAGACAGGGCTTTGTCAAGCCAGGCCTTAAAAACCTCCAAGGAAGGAGACTCCACCACCTCCCTAGATAACGCATTCCAGTGCTTCACCACCCTACTAGTGAAATAGTGTTTCCTAATATCCAACCTAGACCTCCCGCACTGCAACTTGAGACCATTGCTCCTTGTTCTGTCATTTGCCACCACGGAGAACAGTCGAGCTCCATCCTCTTTGGAACTCCCCTTCAGATAGTTGAAGGCTGCTATCAAATCCCCCCTCATTCTTCTCTTCTGGAGACTAAACAATCCCAGTTCCCTCAGCCTCTCCTCATAAGTCATGTGCTCCAGACCCCTAATCATTTTTGTTGCCCTCCGCTGGACTCTTCCCAATTTTTCCACATCCTTCTTGTAGTGTGGGGCCCAAAACTGGACACAGTACTCCAGATGAGGCCTCACCAATGTCGAATAAACGGGAATGATCATGTTCCTCGAGCTACTGGCAATGCCCCTACTTATAGAGCCCAAAATGCTGTTAGCCTTCTTGGCAACAAGAGCACACTGTTGACTCATATCCAGGTTCTCATCCACTGTGACCCCCTAGGTCCTTTTCTGCAGAACTGCTTCCTAGCCATTCGGTCCCTAGTCTGTAGCAGTGCATGGGATTCTTCCGTCCTAAGTGCAGGACTCTGCACTTGTCCTTGTTGAACCTCATCAGGTTTTTTTTGGCCCAATCCTCTAATTTGTCTAGGTCCCTCTGTATCCGATCCCTACTCTCTAGTGTATCTACCACGCCTCCTAGTTTAGTGTGATAACCAAGGCTCCCAGCATGCCCCAGGCCCCTTGCAGGCCTTTGGTTCGGCGACATTGATCCTGTGTCCAAGTCCCTGGATAACAGACCCTGAGTCTACAGCCTCTTCCCCAGCACGGTCTGTAACAGGCAGTCCAGGTTCATCGCTCCACTGCCCCTCCCAAATCAAGCTTTCTATGGGAGCAGTCAGCTTCAGCTGCATGAGAAGCAGTTTCCTTCAACTCGTCATCCAGGCCCAGCTGCCGGAGAGCGCAGACGAATGTGCCGGAGTGGAGCCAGCAGAGCAGAAGGACAGAGGCTCTTCCCCTCCAAGTAACATGGGGCAGGGAGGTGGCGGGGAGATCGTGACAGCCCTGGGATGGGGGCAGGGTGCGGGAGGAGACATGTGGGGAAGCCACGTGTCCTCCCTTTTAGGTTGTGCCCCCCCAGTATGGGGAGACACCAGTCATCTGCAAATACAAGTGAACTAGGTTGAGACAGACCCCAATTTACAGCACATGACTTGAGACCAATTACTGCCACAAGAGTCACTCAGGACTTGGGGGCTCAGGGCAGGTGGAGGGTGCTGAGCCTGGAGGGTGCTCACTGCTGGGTGCTCAGGGACGGAGGGTGGTGGTGATGGGGGTCATTCAGGCAGGGAATCAAACTGCTGCTGTGTCCCCATCACACCCCCTCTTCAAGAAATCTGCCCCATGTGTTGCCCTGGAATTTGACATCCCTGCATGTACCCCAGAACCTGACAGCACTGCAGTCAGCCATTTTGTATGTTCAACCACTGCCAGCTGAAAACCAAACGTCACATAGCTAGGAATAATCTGAGGCCTTTGTGAGACAAGGTCAGACAGGTGCATACTTGCAGTTTGTTAATCACAATGGGAGGATGGGACAGAAAGTTATGAAAGAGAGTGAGTAGATAACAACCTTGGTTTTTGGTGCCCCTGACATGTTGTTTTTCTGGCTGGAAATACTAGAAGTGTTTGGAGATCATGAGTAGTTTGTTGAAATTAGGAGAATTGGTGACCCAGTGGAGGTTATTGTGCTTACCCACTAGGAGTGACTATAGGTTATGTGCTTTGTTAGAGTTAGCCATAAAAGATTAGGTAAAAGTAAATACCTCAGAGCAGTCCAAGGGAGCTTTTATTCAAGCAAGAAGCTGACATCTAAACTCCCCATTAGCTGGCTGGAAAGAGGGCCCCTGGATGCTCAGATGGTGATGACTCGAAACCATCTCAGATTGTGGGCTACTATACCTAGGATGTTCTAAACGCATTGTGTATGTGTGTGTGTGTATGCTTAATATCAAATAAATTGTAGCTTTTGATAAGAGCACACTTGCTTGTATCAATCATTTCTCAGATGGAATTGCTGTGTTCCCAATTATTACTCCTGACACCATCTGGAGAGAAACACTTAAGTTACCACTGCTTTGTGTTCTGAAAACCCTGGGTAACACATGTGCCCTCTGGGCCGTCCATCTGCCTCAGCACCTGCCCCAGTGCCAGGCTGTGACTAGCAGCAATAACACTCACCCCGCCAGCCACTCCAGGGCACCTCAGGGGGCAGCAGGAAGCCGAGCAGAAGCAGGGGCAGATTGCCATCTCTTATCTGTGTCTTTACTGGGTTTGAACTGTCACATCTGGTCCCATTTCCAAATTCAGCCTCCTCCTTCTTCCTCCCCCGGCCCCGCCCCCCAGCTGGGCTATAAGCCCCCCGGGGAACCAGAGCCTGGCACAGGCTGAACTCGAATACCCAGTGCTCTGGACCAGCCGCCTAGACAGACAGACAGACAGACAAACGGACAGGTGAGTCCCTGACCCCTCCAGTCCCTTCTCCCCTCCGTGCTGGGTCCTCGGTGCTGGGTGCTGGGCTTTTGGTGGCAGCCAATCCCTTGGATGGGGCCTGGTGGCCAGACTTACCCTGTGTGAGCTGCCTGGGCCCTGGGACAGTGTCAAACCAGCTCTCCACCACCCACAGCACTGCCCCCCCAAGGACCCGAGTGCCCAGGGTCCCATGCTCCCCAGCTGGCACTGAGCTGGGTGTCTCCCCTTTGTGAAGCCTGGCACATCACCCCTGCAGGGTGGCCCCTGGCTCTCATCTCCCTTTGGTCCTCCCTCACCCCAGGGATGTTTCATAAGTCCTTCCAGCCCCCATCCCGATGGAGGAGGGAGGCAGGAGGGTGGGGGAACCTCCAATAGCAGATCAGTGAGGGCAGGAAGGGTGGGGGAAGCACCCAGAGCAGAGCGTGGAGGTAGGGAGGACCAAAGGGAGGAGCCCCACGGCAGATTAGGAAGATAGGAGTGGTGGGGGATGCCCATGACAGGGCAGGGAGGGCAGATGGGGTGGGGAGTCTCCCTCGGTGGAGCAGGGAGGCAGAAGGGGTGGGGGAACCCCATGGCAGGGCAGGGAGGATAGGGGGGGTGGGGAAGCCCAATTATTGGAGCAGGGAAGGTGGGAGGGGTGTGGGAGCTACCATGGAAGGGCAGGAGAGGTGGGGGGAACCCCCATGGTGGAGTAGGCTGGTGTGGCAGGGAGCTGACTAATCTCCAGCTAAGCTCACCCTTGCTGCGGCCGTGGGGTAACACGGGGGCCACAGCTCTGGGTGTCCCCAATGGAACATTCCAACCATGGGGTGGATTTGTTTCTAGTGGGGTCCCGCAGGGATCAGTTCTCGGCCCTACACTAGTTAACATTGTTATCAGCGACTTGGAAGGAAACATAAATCCATCACTGATAAGTTTGCAGGTGGTACAAAGTTTGGGAGAGTGGTTAACAATGAAGAGGACAGGTCACTGATAGAGAGCGATCTGGATCTCCTGGTAAACTGGGTGCAGCAAACAATTTGTGTCTCTGTATGGCTAAATATAAATGCTGACATCTAGGAACACAGAAGGCAGGCCAGACTTAGAGGATAGGGACCTCTGTCCTGGGAAGCAGGGACTCTGTAAAAGATTTGGGGGTGGGGATGGATAACCGGCTGAACATGAGCTCCCAGCACAATGTCGTAGCCAAAAGGACTAATGCAAACCTGGGATACAAAAACAGGGGAATCTCAAGTAGGAGCAGTGAGGTTATTCTACATCTGTGTTTGGCAGTGGATTAAAGAATTAGAGAACATGCCTTGTGTGTTTAAATGAACGAAGTAGATTAAGGGGTGACTTGATTCCAGTCTATAAATACCTACATGGGGAACAGGTATTTAGCAATGGGCTCCCCAATCTAGCAGGCAAAGGTGTAACACGGTCCAATGGCTGGGAGCTGAAGCTAGACAAATTCAGACTGGAAATGAGGCAGACATTTTTACCAGTGAGAGTAACTGGAACAAATTCCCCAGGGTCGTGGTGGATTCTCCATCACGGGCAATTTTAAAATCGACACTGGATGTTTTTCTAACATCTCTGCTCTAGGCACTATTGTGGGGCAGGGCTCTGGCCTGTGTTTTACGGGGGGAGAGGGGGGGGGTCAGACCAGGTGATCACAATGGTCCCTCCTGGCCTTGCAATCTCTGCATAAAATGCACACTAGGAGTCAGCTGGTGCTTGGAAATGAGATGAGGGAAGTTACCAGGTGTCATGAATTCACAGGGTCTGTGCTGTGCCCGGCCTTTAAACTGTCTCACTAGCCCCAGATACAAGCAGCCAAACCACAGACAGGTGAGAACAGAGTCACTTCGGGGGCAAGTCTGACACCGCTTTCATTGGGCCATGGTCAGCACCTACAGACCAGGG